AGATAGAGCAGGAGGGAGAGAGGGAGAAAGAGAGAGAGAGAAACATTGCTGTGAGAGAGACACATCGACTGGTTGCCACCCACACGGCCCCAATCGGGGCCAGGGACAAACTGCAATCAAGGTACGTGCCCTTAGTGGGAACCAAACCCGGGACTCTGGTCCACAGGCTGACACTCTAACTGCTGAGCCAAACTGGCCAGGGCCAAACCCAAACTTTAGTGTTCAGGGAGGAAAAGACAGACTTGTGGAGATCTGTGGAAGCTTGACTTGCTTCCCTGTTTTGTACTCTCTTCATTTCTAGATGCAAGGATGATGGAAGACGCTTTAGTGTCATTCTGGATAGCACTTGCCTCCAATTGTACCAGCATTCACTAAAGACCTACTATGCACCAGGCCTTTTGCTGGGCCCTGGGGGCACAGAGGTAATTGGGCCGTGGTCCTTGCCCTGGAAGAGCCCACCGTGGAATCTCCAAGGATTGGTTTTGCTCAGAGCTAGGAGCAGTTTTAGCTGGAAGCCGAAGCCTTAGGCTCACAGTGTCCAAAGTGGAATTTAAAGAGTCAGCAAGCCAGTGGGAAAAGCCCTTTGGGAGAAGGGAAGGGAGAAAAAAAAGGGAAGTAGTTGGTGATAATGCTTTAAAAGAGGAACCCAAGCCCTGGCAGGTTTGGCTCAGCGGTTAGAGCGTCGGCCGGTGGACCAGAGAGTCCTGGGTTCAGTTCCTGCAAGGGACACATAGCAAAAAAAGAGGGGAGAAACCCAAAATAGCAAATTGTTTGCTATGGTCCAAATGTTTGTTTTCCCCCAAAAGTTCATATGTTGAAATCTGAATGCCCAATGGTGTTAGGAGGTGATTAGGTCATGAGGGCCCTCATGAATGGTAGTACGCCCTGATGAAAGAGGTCTCAGAGAGCTCCCCGGCCCCTTCCACCGTGGAAGGATACAATGAGAAGCCAGTCACCTGGAAGAAGGCCCTCACCCCGACCATGCCGGCACCCTAACCTCAGTTTTCCAGCCTCCAGAACTGTGAGAAATAAATTCCTGTTGTTTATAAGCTACCTAGCCTGTGGTACGTTGTTACAGCAACCCAAACCAAGACGTTGTCAATGGTGCAATTTCTAGGACTGTGACAGGCTGGTGCAGAGAAGGACTTTCAGGGGCCATCAAGTCATTACAAAGGTCATCTTGGCAAAAAGCCCAGTCCAGTGTTCTTAGTGTAGGAGACATTGCTCCAACCAGCTGAGCCACCCCAGCCAGGGCCCAGTCCAGTGTTTTAAAAAAAACTCAGATATTAGAAAAATGTCTTGAAAGGTAAAATGAAATTTCTGACTCCCTGGGGTGATGGATCAGCAAATAATAAGCATCCTTAAAAACATTTATTAGGCACTTATGACCTATTTCTACAGGCCAATGCCATACAACTCACCTGATTTTCACAATGACCCTCTGAGGACAGCCATCACCGTCTTTCTCTCACTGCTGAGATAAAGAGGCTAGAGGTCAAGTGACCTGTCCAAGGTCACACTGCCAGGAAGTGACAGAAGTGGGGGCGTGGGGCCTGGTCTTTAGATCTCAAAACCATTTTCCTTCTGATACCCTCAGAAACACGAGCTGAAAGGTCAGGAATGGGCGAGAAACACAACCATCCCCAGGGCCTCACTTTACCTTTTAGGAACTTGTGGGAGTTACCACCAAAAAATTCTGTTAATACACCAAGATGCAAAATAATCAGTGAAAAACAAGGCTTAGAAGAAGGTGAAATTAGCTACATGATCCAACCACGCACTCACCAGATCATTTCTCTACCACTACCTGTGTCATTAGGGGGAAAACCGGAATTGGTCAGTATGATTAGCAAAGAGTTACAGCCCCAGAGCTGTTATGTCCCAAGTGCCCTGGTTGTAAAAACATTTATATCTGTGGTTAGAGCGCCCCCATGTGTTTTGACGCTGTCTTAGGTCTCTTCAAGGACCTATTACCAGCATCATCAGGATTTACAATGGGGGGGGGGGGGGGAGTGCAACACTTCTTTGAATCAAGGCAACTCTGAGAGGTAGATGGAAACCCAAGCTCAGGGACCTACTGAAGGAGAATGGCATACCCAGGATTCTGACCCAATTAGAGTTGCTGGCCTCAGGGCCCTGTTCTTTTTTTTTTATAAATATTTTTTCTTTATTGATTTTTAGAGAGAGAGGGAGGGAGAGAGAGATAGAAACATCCATGAGAGAGAACATTGATTGGCCACCTCCTGTATGCCCCCCACGGGGATTAGGCCCACAACCTGGGCATGTGCCCTGACCGGGAATTGAACCAGTGACCTCTTGGTGCAGGGGTCGACGCTCAGCCAGTGAGCCACCTTCCCCTGCATCAAACTGGGCACAGAGCCTGGTCCTCAGGAACTCATGTGTGGATTGTTCTGGAACCCTAGAGTATGCCAGCATTGTGCTGGCCTCAGACTCCAGTCCAATATCTCTGACCCTCAACCCTAGGGCAGATATACCCGCTCCACTTCTCCTACTCCAATCCTCCCCCCCAGGTTCTACCCTGAATATCATTCAGCAACTCAGCTCTGGCGGCTGGGACCACGGACATGAACGGCGCTGGGCTGGAGACACGTCCCTCCCTCCCTTCATTTCTTCAGACATGAATTCACTGAGAGGCCGAGCTGGGCTCTGGAGAAGATTCTGGGGTCAGACAACTTTCCAATCCTACTTCTGCCACTTTCCCACCAGCAGTCCTGCTCCCGAGCCTCAGTTCCCTCAGGTTTTAGACAGAGTTAGTAGGAGCATGAAGGAGATGACGCACGCGGTGCTCTGGGCTCAGGGCCTGGAAGGTGGTAAGTGGTCATTCTGCAGTCACTCAACAACTCAAGGTTTGCCACTGGTCAGGCTCTGTGCTGGCTGCGAAGAAGGGGAGCAATCTATCTGGCCCAGCATGACCCAGGCAGGAGGTAGAAAGCTAGAGCTCCCACCTCCTCCCTCCTTCTCCCCCAATTCTTTTACACACACACACACACACACACACACACACACACACACGCACACACACACACACGCACCAGAGAGCCTAGGGACAGCGAGACCTGGGACTTCCTCCTGATCCCATGTTTCTGCTTTCCCTACCCACCCCAGGCCTGCCTTTGACCCTTGGGCCATGTCTTAGTGCCCAGCCTGGCCCTGGGGATGTGGGGAGGGGTTACCAAGCAGCTGGGTTTTTCCCACAAGGTCAATGGGAGGGGGAGCCTGGGAGGTAGGCTGCATTGGGATGGATGGAGAAAGAGCCCATGCAGAAGAACGAGAGGAGGTACCAGGGAGCTGGGTGGTGGGTAAATGTTGAAGAAGCATCTCAATTGACAAGACGCACTGGCCTGGAGAACCAGCTGCTGCGGAGGTATAAACAGGGAGCACTGGAAAGACACGGAAACACCGTAAGTCAGTGCCATTGGCTGTGTTGATTTCAGTTTTCTAATCTTGGCTTCCTGAGGTGCAGCCAGAATTGTGGGGGTGTTTGTGTGGCAGGGGCTGTAAAGGAAAGCTTTAGAACCTGCGAGAAGACTGATTGGTCCATAGCCAATGTGGTGGAAGCATAACCAAGAAAGCTATGGAAGAACAAATTATCTGATGTGGTGGTTCTCAAACTTTCTGGTCTTAGGAACCCTTCCCACTCTTAAAGGGTCCTCAAAGAGTTTTTGTTTACATAGATTACTTCTATATTTCTGATATCTAAAATTAAAACTGGGTTTTAAAATATTTAATTCATTTAGCCCTGGCCAGTTTGGCTCAGTGGTTAGAGTGTCAGCCCATGGACCAGAAAGACCCAGGTTTGGTTCCTGCTAAGGGCACGTACCTCGGTTACAGTTTGTCCCTGGCCCCGGTTGGGGTCGTGTGGGTGGCAACCAGTTGATGTGTCTCTCTCACATCGATATTTCTCTCTCTCTTTTTCTCCCTCTCTCCCTCCTGCTCTATCTGAAGATAAATGCAAAAATGTCCTCAGGTAAGGATAAAAACATTAAAAATAAAATATTTAATTTATTTAAAATAACTAACAAACCCCTTATATATTAACATAAGTATCACATGTTTGGTGTTCGGAAAATATTTTCCAAAACAAAAAAATCTTAGAAGGGTGACATAGTTTTACATTTGTGCAGATATCTTTCATTTCTGGCTTAGTAGCAGACAGCTGAATTCTCATCTCTGAATCTGGAAAACACCGTTGTACTATGTGAGACAGTGAGAGGGGAAAAGGCAAACAATGTCTTAACATTACTACAAAAGTCATTTTGACCTTGTAAACCCTGAAGGGTCCCAGGGACCACCAGGGGTCCCCAGACCACTCTTTGAGAACTGCTTATCTAATATATATTCTAAACCAGGATGGACTTTATAAAAGTTTCTGTAGTAGCAAAAGTCAGAACACCTGGGTTCTAGTCTTATCTGTTAATGACCTTATTAGTTTTCTTGAGGAAACCACCTGGCCTCTGGTCTATCCTGAGGGCCTAACACAGGGTTCTGTTTGGGGCTGAAATGAACAAATGCCCAGGATCTGAAAGAAGTTCAACTCACTCATGGTCCTGGGGTAATTATCAGTCATATCTACTATTTAACACAGGATAGTGGTTAAGAGCTTGAACTTTAGAGCTCCATGCCTTGGGTTCAAATTCTGGCTCTGCAGCATGGCCGGTGTAGCTCAGTGGTTGAGTGTCGACCCACACACCAAGAGGTCACCAGTTCAACTCCTGGTCAGGGCACATGTCCAGGTTGTGGGCTAAATCCCCAGTGGGGGACATGCGGGAGGGGCCAATCGATGTTCTCTCTCATGGATGCTTCTATCTCTCTCTCTTTCAAATCAATAAAGAAAACTAAAAAAAATTTTTAAATTCTGGCCCTGCAGCTTATTAGCTACGTGAACTTGAGCTAGCCAGTTAATTTCTCTGTTACTTTATTTGTAAAATGGAGATAATATAACTTCACTGAGTTGTTTTGAGGATTAAATGAGAAAATCCATGTTAAGTGCTTACGACAGCCCCAGCTACATGGTCAGCATTACTTACGCGTTTGCTGCTATTACTAACTTGGAGGCTTGCCAACCACGTGCCAGATTAACACTTTATCATGTGGCCTGAGTCACTGACTCAAAAATTGGTGTTAAGAACTTAATTGAGAACATAATTAAGAAAAACTCAATTATGTAAGTAATACATTCTATTTTTAAAATTCAAAGACATCTCTATACATTGCCTTGTTATAGTTCCTCTGACTCTCAACTTATTTGGAAACCTTCTTCTTGGTCGATGGGCAGCTTTGTAAACAGGAGTGACCCTGGGGTTTTTCCTCCCACTCTTGGCCCAGGTGGGCAAAGGCTCCTTCAAGTACACCCGGGTGCTGGACAAGCCGAAGGCAGAGCGGGAACGTGGCATCACCATTGACATCTCTCCCTGGAAGTTCCCAACTAAGAACTATTGCATCATCCATGCCCCTGGTCACCTCGACTTCATCAAGAGCATGATCATGGGTACCTCGCAGGTACCACCAGGGTGCCCTTGGCCCTGCTATGGGGATGAGCAGTGGGTATCCCAGCCCAGATCTGAGCTGGGCCTTCCTTTCTCGGTCCCCTGGGTCATGTGGACTGTGCTGTGCTGATTGTGGCAAGTGGTGCAGATGAGTTGGAGGCTGGTGTTTCCGAGAATGGGCATACCCGTGAGCATGTACTGCTGGCCTACACGCTGGGCATGAAGCAGCTCATTGTGGCGGTCAACAAGACCACCCTCCAGTTGTGTGTTCTTTGAGGAGATCATCAAGGAGGTGAAGGCCTATATCAAGATCGGCTGCAACTCTGAGGCTGTAGCCTTTATGCCCATCTCTGACTGGCATGGGGACATGATAGAACTCAGCACCAAGGTGAGGGCTAACAGGGCCAGGGCCAGTTAACTAGGACTTATCTATTCAAATCTTTGAGCTTCTCCTAGTACTTAATCCCCAGGATTTATAGCATGCTTATGGGCCAGTCACTGTTAATGACCCCCACCCCCATAGAAAACATGATTTGATCCCCATTTCACAGATGAACACACAGAGGCAACTCAAGACTACACAACCAGTAAACATACAGCTACATTGTCTAATGTGACAACCAGTATGTGGCTTTTTAAATTATTTAAATTAAATAAAATTAAATAATTTGTATTTCTTAGTTGTATTAGTTACATTTCAAGGGCCCACCAACCAACCATATGCGGCTACCTTATCAGACAGTGTGGTTTAGAATATTTCCATCATGGTAGAAAGTTCTATTGGGCAATGCTGGCAAAGTCTAGAATTCTAGCTTTGCTTAAAACTGTCCTCCCTCTCAAGATGGCTTAGGCAATGCGGAGGCAATATAAACATGTCTAAGATATAGTCACTGTGCTCACAGATCCCACAACATAGTAGGGTTTAACATTCCTACATGAATATCTCCCTACTAAGGAAGCCTAGCTCTGTCATCAGACCTGGGTTCAAACCCCAGCTCCAGCCCTGGCCGGTTTGGCTCAGCGGTTAGAGCGTTGGCCTGCGGTCCTGAGAGACCCGGGTTCGGTTCCCGCTAAGGGCACGTACCTCGGTTGCAGTTTGTCCCCGGCCCTTGTCGGTTGTGCGGGTGGCAGCCACTCAATGTGTCCCTTTCACATCGATGTTTCTCTCTCTCTCTCTCTGTTCCTCTCTCTCCCTCCCGCTCTACCTGAACAAAAAATGGAAAAATGTCCTCGGGTGAGGATTAAAAAAATAAAATAAAATAAAATAAATAAATAAATAAATAAACCCCAGCTCCAGCCTTTGCCCACAGTAAAGGGGTAAATGAGGTATTAACACTCTGGGGCTTAGGACTCGCTCCATGGGGTTGCAAGAATAACATGAGAGACTCCACATGAACATCTATCCATGCATACAACTGGTGCTCAAATGCTAACTGCTGTCACATCACATTTGTCTAAAGCCCACCTTTTCTATAGCTGACTTGAGGATTCTTAGCCTTTTCCCTTGCAGGTACTTAGCTATTGTTTTTCTGGTTATAAAAGTAATGTCTTACATTTTTACAGTGTGCATTTCATGTAGATATAAAGCTTTAACTGCAATCTAAGGCTTATAGATAACCCGATTTTCATGCAGTTCTTTCTAGGTTGTCCCTGCAGAACTCAAACTGTATAAAATATTCTATAACACTTTTTACTTTTTAAATATTCCTTGCCATTTAAATATGTTGAATAGTTAATGGGTGTTTTGCATTGCATCTCACAGAGGTACAGTAGTTTGTTTAGCCATATTTATTGTGAAATGAAAGTGGTGATTAATGATTTGAGAAATTATATGCCAGACACCAGACTAAACACTTCACATATACACAACACCATGAAGAAGGCCTTTTATTCTCATGTAAATTGAGAAAACTGGGACACATTGTAGATAAGTAATAGCCCAAGGTTACCTGCTTCTAAGAATGTTGTTTTTAATTTTATAAGCTTCTTGATAAAGAAATCTTTGCATGTCTCCTCAATAATTTAATTAGAATAAGTTCCTAATGAAACAGAGGGTAGACATTATTTTGGAATCTTCTGACACGTAATGCCCAGTTGTCCTTGAGAAACATTAGAACTGCCATTGACAGTGTTCACTGGGATGGTATTTGAACATTTGCACGCTGGGCACTGTCCTTGGTGCTGAGGGTTCTGCAGTAACTGAGGTGCAACTCTGCCCGTGGCACTTAGTCTTGTTGGGGGAGCAGGCGAAATATAGTGGATGACAGGTGCTAAGAAAAAACTAACGAAAGGTGAAGGGGCATGATATGAGAGAGTTACTTTATATTGAGTCAAGAGGGACTCTTCTATGATGACATTAGAGCAGAAAACTGAAGCTTTGATGTCCATTTCCCCAGCCCTATTTATTATCACATATTTCAGTGAGTAAGAAAAAGGGATCTTATTCTTATGTCCTTTTGAGAATTTATTAAGCACCTACTATGTTCTAGATGCTAAAAAGAAAGCATTCAGTCAGTGGTCTAGATAGATTTAAGGTTTAGGCTGAGCTCTCAAGAAATACCTGTAACATTGGAGCCCTCGGTTTCCCCATCTTTAAGAGGGGGATAATGCTGACCTCATAGGCTTATGCAGGTCTCTGAGTTTGCATAGAGCCAATGAGTTGCCAAGTTCATCAAACTAATGGAAAAAACTCATCCTCGCTGATGAGGCTGGTGTTGAGTGGGGAACTGGCCTCATTAGCAGCTTTTGGCTTAGGCCTTGGGCAGCCTACTTCTGACTCTCAATTATACCCTCTGTAAAAAGAGAAAATACTCTCTCTCTCTTTTTCTTTCTTACAAGTTTTAATTAATTCATATAAAAATGCTTATTACATTTTCCCAAGATCTCTTATCTTCCACCCACCCTCTCCTTCCTTCTGAGAGTTGAGTACTAATAGAAGTGATAACTTTCTTCTTTGGGCCACCAATTTTTGTGTCCAAGAGACAAGATGTGTTCTTCTTGTTGTTGTTGTTATGTGCCCCTAGCTGCTAGGGCCTAGTGGAAACCAAACCCGGGACTCTGGTCTGCAGGCCGACGCTCCAACAGCTGAGCCAAACCGGCCAGGGCCAGATGTGTTCTGTGTGGTTTCTGTTGTGCATAGCTCTGCTTCTCGCCCATGGAAGAAGGTTTCCTTGACTGGAGCCCTCTTCCCCATCCACCAAAGCCTTCCCTGGTCCACTTCCCAACCCTTTCACCCATGGCAGTCACCGCGTCCTCCCTCCTCTGAGAGTCTCACCGGGACTGAGTGGCCCATCACTGCGAACCTGCTGTGCATGATCCCAGGACCACTCTCCCAGGTTTTGCCTTTATTTATTTATTTATTTATTTATTTATATTTTTTATTTTTTGTGTGGTATGTGCCCCTAGCAGGAACCGAACCCGGGACTCTCTGGTCCACAAGTCGATGCTCAACCGCCGAGCCAAACTGGCCAGGGCGGTTTTGCCTTTAATTTATAGTTCTGAGGAAGAGGTTGGTGTTTCCCTTGGCATTGATGGGACACTGAGGTTTCAACGCTTAGAGATTTGCACAAGAATCTATGGCTAACCCTGGCTGGTTTGGCTCAGTGGTTAGAGAGTCGGCCTGCGGTCCAGAGAGACCCGGGTTTGGTTCCCGCTAAGGGCATGTGCCTCGGTTGCGGTTTGTCCCCGGCCCTGGTTGGGTCGTGTGGGTGGTGGCCACTCGATGTGTCCTTTTCGCATCGATGTTTCTCTCTCTCTCTCCCTCTCTTTTCCTCCCACTCTGAGCAAAAAAAATGGACAGGTGTCCTTGGGTGAAGATAAAAAATAAAATAAAATAAAATAAAGAATCTATGGCTAGAAAGGAGAATCTCCATCGGGATTCTGATAGTCCACCAGACCTAAGGCCCAGGTGCTGACCAGTCCTGCTGCTTTGATGGTTTGACCACTCACTTAGCCCTTAACTTCAACCACCTTGGTTCTTTCTGTACCTCTTCTGTCCTGTATTTCCAGTTAACTGATACGGCGTCTTTCAGGACAAAGATGATGTCTCTGATGTGCTTTGGCTGGGGTTTTTAGAGAAGTAAGTACAATGTCTGCTTAAAAGGCATGCATATGATGCCCTGTCATACTAAAAGCCTTCTCCCTGCAAGGTCTTACACTCCATGATGCTGCCCTTGTTTACATGTCGGCCGCCATGGGAAAGTCTTCAGTGGCCGCTATAGCACAGTCTATAGGGAACTTGTGATGGAGAGTCTAGTCTGCAGGAGGCACGAGTACTAGAGTATTTGAGTCTTGTTTTTCTTCTTACTCCTGATGCTTACTTAACTTTGCTGTATGTCAACAAGTCCAGAGAGGGGAAGGGGCCTCAGTTTCCCCGTTTGTGTAATGAGCAGATGGAATGTGATCTAAGAGCTATTCAGGTTCTCAGAATCTGTGCTTCCTCAACTTGGCTCAAGGCCTGTGAAATTTACAGTAATTCCCACCATTTAGTGGGTACATAGTACACGTCCGCACTGTGCTTGGTGGATTGCGTGTGGTCCTTTGCCTGTGGGCCTGTACGTGGGCCTACAAGGTGGGCGATGAAACCCCTGTTTCACAGATGAGAAAGCCAAGGCTCCAAATGCTACAGAAACACACAAGGTCCCATGTTAGGTGCAGGCTGGTGCCCAGAACAAACCCTCTCGGGGCTGAGTGAGGTCACATTTGGTGGCTGTTCCACACGCCCTGGTTCAGAGGCTGCAAGGTCATCAGAAAGGAAGGGAATGTGGTGGGTATGATGCTGCTGGAAGAATTTGGATTCTATCCCACCCCCTGTTCACCTCAGCAGGGCGTGCACAAGGCTGGGGGTGAGTACATGCCCTATGGGCTACTTGGGGTTGGGGGCTCACTGGGGACTGGCTTCTGACAGCCCTGGTTGCTCTGTCCCTCCAGGCCTCAGTGCCCCTGGGCCAGGGGGAAACGGGCTTCCCCATGGCAGGCATGGTGGTGACCTTTGCCCCCTGCAACATCACCACAGAGTTCAAGTGTGAGGAGATGCACCACTGGGCCTTAACTGAGGCCCTGCCCGGTGATAACGTGGACTTCAGCATGAAGAATGTGTCAGTGAAGGACATCAGGTGAGGCAACGTGGCAGTGGACAGCAAGAATGACCCACTCTCAGAGGTGGGGAGCTTCATCTCACAGACCCACCTAAGGGCATCCTCTTGAGGAGGCCACCCTGTCCTGTGCGCAGTATGGGTCCCTAGGTCATTCAGGAAGTGGTCTCGAGCACGTGCCGGGCTCTTGACAGCAGAGTAGGTAGAGTTACACAGTCTGGGTTAGAATCCTGACTGCAGCTTATTTGCTGTTGGCTCTTGAACAAAACAGTACACTTTGCCCACCTTGTTAGTTTCCACAACACGCTCTCAAAGCCTTAAAGCGGTAGTTCTCAAACCAGGTGGATTAGACTCGCCTGGGCAGTGTTTCAAAAACAGATTCCTAGACCTCTCCCCAGTGGTTCTGATTCCGTAGGTCTGGGTGGAAATTTGGAATGTTTGAAGCTCTCAGGTGATTCCCTGGCTCAGAGTTAGAACACGAGGCTCTGTCTTTTTTTTTTTAATTGTCACCTGAGGACATTTTTCCTTTTTTTTTTTTTTGTTCAGGTAGAGTGGGTGGGAGAAAGAGGAACAGAGAGAGAGAGAGAAACATCGATGTGAAAGGAACACATTGAGTGGCTGCCACCCGCACAACCGACCAGGGCCGGGGACAAACTGCAACCGAGGTACGCGACCTTAGCGGGAACCGAACCCGGGTCTCTCAGGACCGCAGGCCGATGCTCTAACCGCTGGAGGCTCTGTGTTAATGCAGCGTCTGGCACATTCTTACTTGTGCTCGTGGCGGCTGGCGCCACCTTACTGCAATCTTGGGAACAGTAAGCGAGGTGATGATAAGTAAACAGCTGACCTGGGGCCACCTTACAAGTTAGGTAGCTGCCACTATTATAATCCCTTTTTCTCAATGGTGGGAAGAAGCAGTACATATAATAACATCCACGTGTGTAGATTTTACTATCACTGGTACTCAGCTCTGCCACTTCCCAGCTATGCAATCTTGGATAAGTGACTCAATCTCCCTGCTGTGACAAGTAAATTGGAATGCATGGGAAGCACTTAGCCTGGAATTTGGTATACCCCAGAAACATTCAAATAGGCACTAGAATTTAAAGTGTGTCCAAGGCGCCTGACCCCTTAGCTGGTTAGGGCCACCTCTTTTGGAGGATGCTTGGTTACCACCCTCCCCCTCCCCGCCCCACCCTGGGCTCTAGGTGATGATTCTCGACTACCCTGGAAGCACGGCAGTTGCATACTCCCGGTGATGGACTGCCACACAGACCACACATCCTGCACATTTGCAGAACTGAGGGGAAACATCAGCCGGCACTCAGGCAAGAAGCTGGAAGACAACCCAGAAACCCTGAAATCTGGGTACTTGGCCATCACCCAGATGATTGCAGGCAAGCCCATGTGTGTGGAGAGCTTCTCAGAGTAACTGACTACCAGATCTGCCCTTCCTCATCTTGGGTCCAGGGAGCCGGTTGACCAATGCATCACACCTGAGCCGGGTAACAATCCCTGGACAGAAGGATCTAAATGCCAGGTTAGAAGGGCCCAGAAAGGGAAAGCAGCCTGCCTAGTGTCACACAGCAAGTTAGGGGCCTCTTTAGAGCCTTGCTACTCAAAGTGTAGTCCGTGGACCAGCAGCACCGGCATCCCCCAGGAGCTGGTTAGAAATGCAGCATCTCAGGCCCCATCCAGACCTGCTGAATTCAGATTTGTATTTTAGCAAGACCCTTACATAATTTGGGTACACATCAAAGTCTGAGAAGCACTGATCTAGAAGAGGTGAACAGAGCAGAGATTAGTAGGGACTTTCCTTTTTCCTACCTATGCTCTAGGGCCATGGTTTTCAAACCTGGTAGATTATCAAATGGAGCCTATTTAACTCAGTGGCTCAGACCCTGATAGATTTTCCTGGTCAATGCCGCAGCCTAGAAGTCTGTTTCTTAGATCCCCCAGGTATCTTATGTGTGGCTGGACTTCAATCACTGCCCTAGGAGGCTTTGAACTCAAAGGAAGGAAGCACCTTCATGAAATGCTTCTGTGGTGGCCTGTGCTAGATGTTAGGTATTTACAAGTAAATCAGGAAAACTCTTAGGGGCTCCCAGTTAATGGGAAAGGGTGTGCATTTCAAAAGGCTAATTTTATAGGTGGGTCACAGAGGCTGCCACATAAATCTTGTAAAGCTGGTTGAGTTCCTCCTCTCTCTGCCATAAATAGATAGATTTGAAGCTGGGTACCAAAGCCTTTTCCTCTACAACTTGAAATCAGGGGAACATTCCAGAACCCCCAGGAGAATGTAAACGAGTTCCACTCCATGGGCTGTGGTGGGCACAGAAAAGGTGCTAGTTGCTTGGAGGCTAGGAACATTAGTATGGTGGGGTGGTGGGTGCCCCAAAAGCAAAGTTTCCCTGTGACCTTTATTTATAGAAGCAGAATAGTTAAGTGGCTAGGAATAAATGTGGCGGTATGAGACTTATGGGTTTTCAACCATTGTAGCCAAGTGTCCTTCCACTTCTTTGCCTCAATTTTTTACCTATACAATATAAAGAGATTTGCAACGAGTTGTTGGGAAAATGAAATGAGTTTATAGATATACTCAAAGTATCACTCATGCCTGGCCAGTGTGACTCAGTGCTTAAGCGTCAACACACGCACCAGGAGGTCACCGGTTCAATTCCTGGTCAGGGCACACACCCAGGTTGTGGGCCAGATCCCCAGTGGGGAGCGTGCAGGAGGTGGACAATTGATGTTCTCTCTCATCAATGTTTCTATCTCTCTCTCCCTCTCCCTTCTTCTCTTTCTAAAATCTACAAAGAAAAAATATTCAAAGTATCCCTCACTTGGTTCACCTGACCTCCTGTGCAGGTACCTACAGCTCATGCCCTGCCAGTGTTCCCACTTGTTTCTTCACGTCCCGTGTCCTAGGTCGCTTCACTGTGCATGGCATGAGGTAGACGGTGGCCGGAGGAGTCATCTAGGCCGTGGGGAAAAAGGTCAGGTGGCCAAGTCACCATGTCAGCCAGGCAGTGAGTGGTGATAGCTACTTCAGGTCCCTCCCGGCCAGGGGCAGCACAGACAGAGGCACACCTGGGCAAGATAGGGTGGCTCATGGAGAAGACTTGGGGTTGCTCTTGTCTTACCTGAAGTGTCCTAACCCTGCCCCTGCTAATGCGTTTTTCTTTTTGCTGATGAGTATGAGGCATGAGAATAAAGCACAGCAAGTCTTTTTGCCTCTGCCTCTCCTGACCTGGAGGTCTCAATCGAGGAAGGAGTGGGGAAGCGCGGGGGCTAATTCTGCCCCTTCTGCTTCCTTTGGGGACCTGACTCATGCAAGAACCACAGGGAGGCTCACAGGGAGGAAAAGGGGGGAAAAGAGGAACTCTGGGGAAGCTTTTGGCTCTGACCTAGTTTATCAGCTCCTAGGGACTGGACTTTAGCATTAGACTATCTGACTTAAACAGCATCTATAAAAGTTACTAGATTTCTGTTTGTTCATCTATAAAATGGGAAAACAATAGTACCTGACTCACAAGGATGTTAAAGCTTGACGAGTAGCCCGGATGGTGTGGTTCAGTGGATTGAACCACATTCCATGGTCTGAGAGGTCCCCGTTCAATTCCCAGTCAAGGCACATACCCGGGTTGCAGGCTTTATCCCCAGTAGGGGGCGTGCAGGAGGCAGCCGATTGATGTGTCTCTCTCATATTGATGTTTCTACCTCTCTCTAAAAAAATGAATAAAAAAAAAAAAAAGGTCGCGTGAGCCCTGGCCGGTTTGGCTCAGTGGTTAGAGCGTCGGCCTGCGGTCTGCAGAGACCCGGGTTTGGTTCCCGCTGGGGGCGCGGGCCTCGGTTGCAGTTTGGCCCCGGCCTGGTTGGTCGTGCGGGTGGCGGCCCCTCCATGTGTCCCTTTCACGTCGATGTTTCTCTCTCTCTCCCTCCCTCCCACTCTATCTGAACAGGAAATGGAAGAGTGTCCTCGAGTGAGGATAAAAAATAAAAGGTCAAGTGAGTTGATACCTGTTGGCCATGGTAAATTTAATTATTGATTCTCATCAACACGGTGTGGGTATTGGGGTCAAGTGAGAGCTATTATGGGAAAGTTCAGTGGAGAAAATTGGGGGAGGATAGAATAAGACTGAATTTTGGAGGATGAGCTCTGTTTTATCTTCCTAGGCGATGTGTTTCCCTCAAATTATTTTCTTAACTTTACTTTGACAATTTCAGAGTTACAGGTAAGTTGCATGAAGTCCCAGGTACACTTCACTTAGATTCCCTAAACCTTTTTTTTTTTTTAATCCTCACCCGAGGATATTTTTCCATTAACTGTTAGACCATTACTTTTTAGATAGAGTGGAAGGGAGGGAATGAGGGAGGGGGAGAGAGAAGGAGAGAGAGACAAGGGTGTAGAGACACACATCGATTGGTTGCCTCCCCCACGACCCTGATGGGGCTGGGGATCAAACTTGCAACCCAGGTACATGCCCTCAATCCTTCTGTCCAAGGGCCAACTCTCTAACCTCTAAGCCAAACTGGCCAGGGCAGATCCCCTAAATCTTAAATTGACCTCATTTGCTTTGTCCTTTCCCCTCTAAATGCAATATTTTTTCTGAACCATTTGAGAGTAAGCTGCTGTTATGATGCCCCTTTACCCCAAAACTGAATGTGTATTTCTTAAACCAAGGCCATTCTTTTATAGAACTAAGGTTAAGTAATCAGAATGAAGGTATTAAATTAACATGGGTGCATTTCTGAAGTCTACAGATGTTATTAAAATTTTGTCAATTATCCCAATAATATGCTATACAGCAGAAGAAAATCCAGATCATGTGTTGCATTCATTCAGTTGTCCTTTATTGCAAGTTTTGAACCAGCCCCTCCCTTCACTCTGCCCCCTCCCAGAGGTCTGGCTGAGCCCCTAGCTCTTGGCGAGCCAGTGGGTGCTTGAAGGAGGAGGCTCTGTGGAGAGGCCTTTTCCCTTTGCCTTCCTCCATCAGACCAGCTTCTCAGAATGCCCTTTTGTCC